GAATGAACAATACTAAATGCATAGATCAAGAAACTTGAATCCCACACAGAAAGCAAAACCATAGAAACATATGATGCTTGAGAAAATGTATGAATTTCCTATCAGATACATCTTGAGTAGAGGACGGCCCAGTCGAAGCTTGAGAGCCTTTTTGTTTGGTGCAATAAAGAAGCTTCTTCACCTGGTCAGGAGTACAGGTCAACCTCCCCCATTGCTTCTGGAACTGGACCAGGTAGTTCTTTGGGGATGCATGCTGCTGAAGCCTCAGAGGGGGTACTTCAGGAGTGGCAGGTGCCAACAAACCAACATCAGGTTGAACTGGCAAAACCGTAGTTGCACTGGCTGGTGAAGACGCGCAGATACCTGGACTTGGGCCAGGTGCCATTGCCATAGAAGCTTCAAGTAGTGGTGCACCTGGGTGTTTGGCTTTAGAACCTTCCACTTCTCGCAGAAAACCAGATCCACTACTGGGCTCACCTGGTGGCTGTTCTGGCAGGTCAGGCATCAGGCCATCCATCTGCAGCCTGTATGCAAAGTTCACCAAGAGGTCCAGGTCTGCTTTTGCAACTCTTCTTCATTCAAAGGATCCTGAGAGGGGACGACAGCGGGGCCAAAAACAATGAAGTGATGAGTATGACAAAATGAAGGGGGTTGGCCACCATCACCCTCCCTCTTCATCACTACAGGTGGAAGTGGTGGAACATGTTTGCATTGCTTTGTTGCTTGTGTTACATGCCCATGAGGTTCCTTTAAGGTTTTTTCTATAAAACTATGCTTAATACTAAGATTGCAACTGCAACTACAAACTCCTGACAACCAAAACATTCCCATGCATGAGCGCACAAGAGTCCCAAACTTGCATGTTCCAAAACTTTGTAGCTTGCAGGGATGGAAAGCAACACAATTGACACTGGAGGACTCTTCTGCCCAGAGTTCAAATTGGCGTGCGTTCGCGCGTGCTGGTGACAGCATCTCTTGGAGCAGAAAACGGACGCTGCGCAGGTTGAGGGGCAAGGGAAAAAATTGCGACTTTCTGTTGAACTTGTACACACATGTAGACATATTTACTTGTGTATATAGTATATATGCATATAGAATGACGTTTGATTACGTTTGTGCGAGGAGGAACGAAATAGACCCCAAAGGTCCCTGCCACATATATATATATATATACACAATATATATACAATATATATATATATATACAAAACATATGAATTATTCTCCCAAATATAGCAAACCCTAAGATACAAATGTCCTGTTTCTGTTGGCCGGAGGCCCCAGCAACGCTGAACCCAGTGGTTTTTCCGGGGCTCCTTGGCAGCGGCCTCCTGCCGGGCCAAATGAGCTTCCACCTTTGACAAAAAGCCCACTGCTCGGGTACCAAGGGCAGAGGCCAAAAAAAACGAAGGAGTTGGGAACCAAATTTTCTACCAAAGGATGATAGTTCAAGTAAAATTTCAAACTTTGGGTGATTTGGTCAACATATGTCAAAATGTGGTTCCCTTATGATTCAAACTATTGGATGATTCAAAAGAAACAGAAACAGACATCAGATGTGGTTGCGGACTGGAGGATTCGCCATGCTGAAACGGGAAGGTGAAACGGGAAGGTCCCATATGGTCCCAGATGGTCCCATAATTCGCATGTTGATTCTGATGTCGTGCACCAATCATCACCATTTGGTGTTTGTAAGTTACCCTCCAGTAAATGAACATAAACCCTGGCAGTTGTCGGGGTTGGAAGACAAGTTTCCACTATACATTGGTCATTTTCAGGGTCCAACTGTTAATTTACCAGAGGGTATCTAATGTGGTAAACCCAAAACCACAAACCATCCCCACTTGCCAGGAACGGGTTATGAAATCCCGCAGAATTGGTTGTTTATTGCGTTGGTTCTACCTCATTTTTATATCCGAACTCTGCTGTGCCAAGGTCCCAACAGCTGTCTGCAACATCTCAATCTCACCTTCAGTATCCTCAGTCGCGCGAAAAGGCCAGGTCTGGTCACCCTGTCAATCTGGGGGCGGTTTATTCAACATCTGGGGTCTTTACAATTCAACATGTACTGTAATATAATGTAATGGGGTTCTGCAATTTCTGATTCACGATATCGTGTCCATCTAAATTCTATGTTTGGGACCTTTGATAAACACACGTTTCCGCACAACAGCCAAGAATTCGGAATGTAAGACACATAACATAGGACTCAGCCATTTACTCATGTATGTACACATCAAATATGTATGTACGATATATTGTGTGCATGTATATATGTATTTATACAAATGTATATATATATACATATACCAGCACAGTTCAAGAAATATTGATAGTAGTCTGCGGTGGGTATGTGGACTACTTTGAATCCTCATTCTCCTGCACCAGTTTGGATCCAAAGGTGTAAATGAGACACGTGAAGATCTAGTGTAAGCTGTGAACGTGTATGTATCTGTATACACATCATACGTTCTCACATTCAAATAAGATATATAATATGATATAATATAAAATAGAATAATATAATATAATACAATAATATAATAGAATATAATATAATATAATGCAATATAATATAATATCAGTATAGTAAAATATACTATTTACAATATAATATAATAGAATAGAATATAATAGAATACAATACAATAAAATACAATACAATATAATATAATAGATTATAATGAAATACATAAAATAAATTAATATAATATAACATAACATAATATAATATAATATAATATATACACACACATTATACATATGCAACTATATATATATATACATATTGTTTATATATAACATATTAAATATAATATATACGAGTATATATAATATACATAATATATAAAATACATAATATACATAATATATAAAATACATCATATACATAATATATAATATATAATATATAATATATAATATATATAATATTTCATATAATATACAATTATATATAATATAATATTTTATAGTATATACAATATAATAATATATATATACAAGATAATATATAATATAATATATAATAAAATAATAAATAATATAGTATATAATATAGTATAATATATAATATAATATATAATATAAGATATGATATAATATAATATATAATTTAATTTATAATATAAAACATAATATAATTTTTAATATAATATAATTTAACTTAATATAATATAATATAATAATATATATATTATATAATATGTTATATATAATATGTTATATATAAACAATATGTATATATATATGCATATGTATAATGTGTATATATATATTATATTATATATATTATAATCTATTATATTATATATAATAAATCTATTATATTATAGTGTATTGTATTTTATTGTATTGTATTCTATTATATTCTATTATATTATATTGTAAAATATATTATCTTATACTATACTGATAGTATAGTATAGTATATTATATTATATTGTAAAATATTATATTATACTATACTGATAGTATAGTATATTTTATTATATTATATTTTATTATAATATATTCTATTATATTATATTATAATATTATATTATATTTTATTATATTGTAATATATTATAATATATATATATATTATATATCATATCATATATATATATTTATTATGTATTACATATCTTATATACATTATATATCTATTTCATAGATATACACACATTGCATTGCATTCCTTTGTGCTGCATTGCATTTCACTAGAGTGTTGCAAACATTACATTACATTACCTTACCTTACATTACATGACATATACGTATGTATGTGTGTATATATATAATTATATATAGTAGTCACAAACACACATGTAAGTTCACTGCAACGACCAATCGGTGGCCCCAGCTGCGCAGCTGCACCCCAGGTGCCCCAACACCAAGCTGCGCCAAAATCGTTTGAGCATCCTGCGCCCCGAAACTCTTCGGTTTTTTTTTGTTTTTTTTGGACGCTGAAGAGACCCATCACTGTTGGCCTTGAGAAATGGCATTTCCAAATGAGAAATTTCAGATGTAGCACTAGTGCCGACTAGCGAGCACCTTCTGTGAGCTTGGGGTGGTGATACGGTGTCGGAATGGATGAACCAGATTCTGCCAGAGAAGAATTTACAGATGCCACTTGAATTGGGGGTAGGTCCAACAAATTTACGCACATGCTCAGAAATGGCCATTCGACCCAAAGGTCGGGGACTTTTTCATCCATCGCTTTCGAAGAAACATGGCTGCATCATTGTGACTCCAAGTCATGGCGCTAGAGATGATCAAATTAAACCTAATATATATATATATAGATATAGATATATATATACATAGATATATATATATATACATATATATATATACATATATATATACATATGGTTCCATATTCCATTTTGAACCAGACCTGTCAAGTCTGGGGCGTTGGATGAAAACGATCCTGTGCGTCCAGGGGTCACCCTTGCCTTTGCCACACGGGCTGCTCGTAGGAACTCACGGTTCGCAATATGGGTTCTAGCCTGACTCAGCTCAGCAACCGTTGAGGACCCCAAACGGCCCAAACACAACCACCCATCCAAAGTGGGTACTTAGTGTTGGAACCAAACGAAGGAAATCTCAGCCACGACGGTAGAATGCGCAACGCCACAAGAAGTTATGTTACCAAACTGCTGGCTTTCTCTGGGTGGCATGGTCCCGCAAAAAAAAACATCAGTGTAGGTAGAACCAGTTTCGTGCAGATCAATTTCTGACCAGCTACTACCATGCGGTCGAACAACCATGCAAATGCACCCCAATCAATCTGATCTAGTTGCCGAGTTGAGCAACTTGAAATGGGAACCAAGGTTCAAAGTCTACGATGTGGCGGCAGTGGGTCGAACCCGTGAGCAAAACAAAATTAGATGGTGAAATGCGAACAAAATACAAATTATTCCCCAAGTGTGGGTAGCCAGTCTGGACAACTTTGAGTCAGAGCCGTATTCGAGCCATCGTCACTGGTGCATTTCAATCTTTGATGACTACCCATTATACCTCCCCCGCATGCCTCTGATTAGCCTCACTTAGAGCTATACCTTTTCGCATGTGCATCCAGCAGCAACTGGACAAGTACATATGTATACATAAAAAAAATATGTGTGTATATGATATGTATAGAAATTCTATTGTATTGTAGGTCCTATCCAAGGATGTCCGTATGTTAATAAGCTTACACCAATGGTTCAATGGATTGGTTTTGTTGGGAACACCTTCACCAGAAACCAGAGATTTTCCATGATTTTTCCATTAGATATGAGGTTTTCCATGGATTTTTCAAGGATTTTCCATGATTTTTCCGTTACACCGAGGTGCCACGGTCTGCAGGGCCAGGGCTTCGTTCTTGCGATCGCCCTCATGCTGAAAGCGTTCGACCTTAGGACGTTCCGTGGGACGGGACCAAACCAAAAATGGCGATGGATGCATGGGGATAAATCTACCATGTAAATATGATCATACTATATATATACACTATATGTATATACACTATGTATGTACTGTATACATAAGTATATATATATATACAATATATGTATATACACTATGTATGTACTGTATACATATGTATATATATATACACTATATATATATATATATACACTATATGTATATACACTATGTATGTACTGTATACATATGTATATATATATATATACACTATATATATATATACACTATATGTATATACACTATGTATGTACTGTATACATATGTATATATATATACACTATATATATATATACACTATATGTATATACACTATGTATGTACTGTATACATATGTATATATATATATACACTATATATATATATACACTATATGTATATACACTATGTATGTACTGTATACATATGTATATATATATACACTATATATATACACTATATGTATATACACTATGTATGTACTGTATACATATGTATATATATACACTATATATATATACACTATATGTATATACACTATATGTATATACACTATGTATGTACTGTATACATATGTATATATATACACTATATATATATACACTATATGTATATACACTATGTATGTACTGTATACATATGTATATATATATACACTATATATATACACTATATGTATATACACTATGTATGTACTGTATACATATGTATATATATATACACTATATATATACACTATATGTATATACACTATGTATGTACTGTATACATATGTATATATATACACTATATAAATATATATATACACTATATGTATATACACTATGTACGTACTGTATACATATGTATATATATACACTATATAAATATATATACACTATGTATATACACTATGTATGTACTGTATACATATGTATATATATATACACTATATGTATATACACTATGTATGTACTGTATACATATGTATATATATATATACACTATATATATACACTATATGTATATACACTATGTATGTACTGTATACATATGTATATATATATACACTATATAAATAGATACACTATATAAATATATATACACTATATGTATATACACTATGTATGTACTGTATACATATGTATATATATATACACTATATAAATATATATACACTATATGTATATACACTATGTATGTACTGTATACATATGTATATATATATATACACTATATGTATATACACTATGTATGTACTGTATACATATGTATATATATATACACTATATAAATATATATACACTATATGTATATACACTATGTATGTACTGTATACATATGTATGTATATATACACTATATAAATATATATACACTATATGTATATACACTATGTATGTACTGTATACATATGTATATATATATATACACTATATGTATATACACTATGTATGTACTGTATACATATATATATATACACTATATAAATATATATACACTATATGTATATACACTATGTATGTACTGTATACATATGTATATATATATACACTATATGTATATACACTATGTATGTACTGTATACATATGTATATATATATATATATCCACTATATATATATATACACTATATGTATATACACTATGTATGTACTGTATACATATGTATATATATATACATATACACTATATATATATATACACTATACGTATATACACTATGTATGTACTGTATACATATATATATGTATATATATATACACATATGTGTATATACACTATGTATGTACTTGATACATATATATATATACACATATGTGTATGATTGTTTTCATCAAAACATTGTTTTCAGGTCCATTACTGTTGGTGATATCTCCACCTCCGTTTGGGGCCCAAAACTCTGCGAACAGCCATGGGGATCCATGGATGCCCCGAATTTGGTTCCGTATGTCCAAGTGACATTGACACATTGGGTTCTTGTGGTAGAAACCACCAGCAAAACAAATTGACAGATGTCTACAAGAACAACGGAGTCGGTGTTGTTCGTTGGGTTTTTTTTCCATCCAAACGAATCATTTTGCGGTTTCCAAATCCCCAACGAAAAGACCCGTTTTTCCGATGAAAAATTCCCGGCGAAATGTTGACATGTTGACAGTGGATGGTCCTTCGATTTGTCTGAACAAACCTCCATTGATAGATGATAAAATTCCCATTGATTTTAATGGATAATGGAGGTTTGAAAAAGGAGGTATCCATATTAAATAGGTTCTATATGGTTCTATATTTATGGATAATGGATGTTGCATTGCTGGAGGAAAAAATGGATTGATATGGCTTGATGATCCAAGCTTTTCCTTGAGGACATCGACTGCCTGCTTGGCCGTGTGCATTGCCTCGGCAACTGCATCCCATATGAAGCAACGATGAGGGGAAGCTATGATATGCTATGATGGAACGAAGAGATTTCAGTGGAACAAAGGGATGGAAAATGATGGAAATCTCAATTCTGCATGATGTAATGGAGTCGGTTGACAGCATTCTATGACAGCTTGGAGATTTCAATGAAATGGGGAATCATTATGACTCATTGCCATCTGAAATAAATTTCTGTACCCTCGAGTAAACAAACATGGCAATGAAAAATGGCCCATTTTGCAAATCCATTTACCATCTGGAAATTTAACATATGTTTTAATAGGTAAACCATCTATAAATGGGCAATTTTCCATGGCTATGTTGAATAACCAGAGGGTAGATGATTTTAGCTTTGCATATCGTACGTGGCACACGTAGATCATGGCTGATCCCGTCGCGATTTTTGTGGGTCAGAAATTTGGAGACCAAGTGGGTCATTCTCATCACAGCACGTTCCTTCTGACAAATGTTGCTGGTGCGAAAAAGGTTGGCGCCCAAGAAATTCTTGGTGTTTTTTATACCGTATCGAAATTTTATGGTTGGAAAACATCCCATTATCCCCCCAATAAAAAGAACATATCATTACATACCCTGATTATGATTGGATGAACGTGTTGGATATGTCTCGGGTCTCTAATGATTGTATCATATCAGCTGGAGATTTCCTAAAATAGGGTCTACCCAAAAAATAATCATCCATTTTAGTAGGATTGTCAATTATAAACCATCCAGCTCCATTTTAGGACCCCCATGGATTTTAGGAAACCTCCATAATTATATACATATGCATATAATATTGATCATTATTAACCATTATTAACCGTTATTAGATATATTCCAGGGGTTTTACCCAGCTAGTTCAATCCGCATGTGACCTAGTCACTGAGCCACTATTGGAGGCCAGCTCTGCACTGACCAACAACCTCGGTAAAAATTCGAAGCTTGGGGACCCCAACGGTTTGGTCAAGGTTTATGTACCACAATATGTATATATATATTATGTATTGATATGTATTGTATAAATATATATATGTGTGTGTGTCTGCATCTATGCATAGTTTTTGTCATACGTTTGAGTCTTGCACCAATGGTTTCCATCAAATGGCAGCAATGGAACGGCAGAGGAAATGGCTGTGGAAACTGCATAGCTATGGAATGACACAGTACCCTCTGGTAATGACTAACATAGCGAACTGGAAAGATCCACCATTTTTCATGGGAAAATCCACTATTTCTATGGCCATTTTCAATAGCTATGTGGCTGTTTACCAGAGGGTAATATACAGTAACCCAATTTCTTGTTGACTAACCGACTCGCGGCTTCGCCGGAGCTTTCATTGAATATCCAATTTTTTACATATCAAACATATCGTGCGAGCTTTCTGGCCACTCCCTGACGCTGCGCTGACCCATCTGGAAGAACTGATTGTGAGGTTCTGCCGCAACCAAGACACACAGCCTTTCATCATTGTGGACATGGTTTTTCCAACGCAAACTACTGAAGAATATAACAAATAGGAGACCTACACAATGACTATCAAAATGTTAACTCTTGAAAGTGATATTGTTTCATAATGGGATATATACTATACGCATTTGTTATATCAAGCTCAAGTCATCGACTGTGCTAAACTGTAGGCTCCGGATGGTTCAGGTGCATTTCTGCTGGCGCGCTACAACGGCATCTAACATGTCAGCTGGGTCCCGCTTTCACTAGGTCGATCGAAAAACAATAATGAGATGTAGGTTCAAAAAGATAGAACTTCCTGACTAAAATCATGTAAATCATGTAAAATCATGTAAAATCATGTAAAATCCAACAAAACAACCAGGAGCCATCAAGACATATCGTATCATCTCATCATGTATCCCCTTAGGGCTCCAGGCTGCATGGCTTCCTTTTCTCCTTCTTTCTCTTTCAACTCCTGCGCCCAATGGAATCACCAGCAGGTCCAGGCTCCGGTGATGGCGAGCCCAAAAAAAGGGTGGTGGGGGCTGGGGCTTCGATGAAAAATGTGGATTTCCATCAGCAAACTCTGCAACCAATGGACAATCCAAAGTTATATCGGTCGCTGGTGACAGAACTGAGTCAAGGGTCGCTGTTGAGATGAACAACCGATGTCTCTGGAAATTAAAGAGGCTGCAAAAACATATTCCTTTCGGTGCACCACAACCACCCGGCTAGCCCAGTGTCTCTTGCCAGTGGAAAAACCTGTGCATTGCGGTTTTCTGCCGTTAGGGAGGCAGCAGATCTGACTTGACATTCCCATCAATGCCCCAATATTCCCGAGACAGGATATTGTGCGTAAGATCCCTAGCAGTGCTCAAAATGGCTACTAACATCTAGCTGCTACTAAAATGGCGAATCTAGCAGAGTTTTCACTCGACTTTGGCCCGAAAAAAAAAAGGACCCATGGCGCCAGAGCGACACAGAAACGCAAGGGTTGGTCATTCATGTCTGGTTGGTGGTTTCAATACCTCTGAAAAATATTATTATAGTCAGTTGGGATGATGACATTCCCAACTGAATGGAAATTCATAAAATTCATCTAATTGGTGGTTTCAATCCCCCTGAAAATGAAAGTCAGATTGGATCATCATCCCAACTATTGGGAAACATAAAAAACCATTCAGATGCGTATCTGTCAAGGATTTCCCATGCCATCAACTGGACCATCCCAAAGCCAACCGATTCAAGGCGTCCTGCAGCAGTGCTAATGCCTAGAGGACATGACTGTAGCACCAGGCTTTGCAACACCTTTCCCCTGTGAAATACCGAGGCGCCTTCCGTTGACTTCCATTTCTCCAATCTGTTTCTAGTGTCAAAAGTGGAGACCTCCAAGACAACCGCATAGGGATCCCCAGAAAAGATCCAAAAACAGCATCAAAAACCATCATTCATGGATTTTTCTTCGCATCAACAACCTGACAATCACGAACCTTTAGTAATGTTAATAAGGGCTTGTTAAACAGCTGTCATTGGTGGGGTCACCCCACTGGTGGGAGTTGTCCCCCATGATATCAGCATACCATCATCCTCCCGCCTCCTTTGCTGCTGCCCTGGCCGCCACAGGCCTGAAGACAGCTATGGGCACATCAAAAATAGATCTATGGTTTCCAAAATGTTGGCTACAATATGCTACAATTATAGTTGGACTATCTTCATGTATCTTCTAAGGATGATTGGTTGGTAGATGGCAAGTAAGATGCCACTATGTTTTTCGTGGCCAAGCGTGATGAAAGGCGCTGGCGCAGCTGGTCCCCTCTGGCGCCACTGTCTGGGATTCCCGGTCTCTTGCTTGGCAATGAGCACTTTGGCCTTGGCGCTTGGAAGATAAGGGAAGCAAAGGTAGAGACCATTGAAGTTTGAAGCACGAAAAACACATAGACAGTTCGATCTATTGCTTTACGGATAAATGAGTTCAACCCTGTGCCAAATTGGAAGAGGCCACGGCCCCCAGGAGAACGTGGGAAGGCCCTTCAAATCCTCCAGTTGTAGATGATTCAGCTGTTTGAAACTTGGCTGAAACAGCTTGCCCTGTGATTCTTCTCCAAATTCGGTCAACGTCCCCATGTTCCACCAGCCTTTCTGAGGTTTTGGTGGTTTTGGTCACTGGGGGAAGTGACTAAGTATACTAAGTGTGCTCCAAAGCGGCTACCATCACCTTGCCCCGGCTGAGGCCTCTGGCCAAGGCGTTGAGAGCTGCAGCTTCGCGTGCTTCGCGTCTCGTGCTGCTGCGAAAACTGCCGTTTTTGCGAGCACTGGGATCCTTCTGCGCCTACATCCTAGGTATATGGGAGGGTCCTAAACTATGGGTACCCCAAACCATTGGTTTTCCCAGCTTTCCCAAGATATATCATTGGATCACAAATACATAAGTTTACATATGTATGCTATCATGAACTGGCTGGCAGTTTGATTCCTGTGGTCCCTCTTAAATTGTTTACCCTCTGGTTGGCAAATTAACCTCTGTTCGATGATTTTCACAGCTACCAACCTCCATGGGAGGATATAACAACCATTACAACCATTCATCACCATTACCCTCTGGTTATGTCAAAACAGCTGTTGAAAATGGTTGTTTATAGCTGATTTACCGATTAAAAACGATGATTTTCGATAGCTATGTTAGTTTACCGGAAAGTAATCAGCATTAATCACCATTCATCACCAATTCATCACAAGTCATTGGCATTTCGATCAGCTCATTCAACACGAATCCCACCATGTCCGGTCCCCCGCCTCTTTAGCGCGGCTTCCGCTGCTTCTTGGGCTTCCTCCAAGGAACCTCTGGAGTCTCCAACGCGACGAGTTCTTGGGACGTTTGAAAGTGCGAAGGTTCTTTTCACCCACAACAACTTATAACTGGGGATATCCTATGTTATGTATATACTATATACTATATGCTATATACTATATACTATATACTATATACTATATACTATATACTATATACTATATACTATATACTATATATTATATATTATATACTATATACTATATACTATATACTATATACTATATACTATATACTATATACTATATACTATATACTATATACTATATATATATACGTATATATATATATACACACACAACTGCGGTATGTCATACTCCCAAGAGGCTGAAGAACACTCGGTTTTTCACACCAAATCGGCCACGTTTCATGCGCCAAGCCACTTCTGAGGTGAACATCCACCAGTACCTGGGGGAAGAAAGGCCAACTGATTCATACAGAATATTGCCCCCCAGTTATAAGTTGGTTTATAAACTCCATTAACTATAGTTCAGCCGCTTATATCTCAGCTATCTTGGGGGCCCCATCCTGTATGGAGGTTACCGAAAATGGTGGTACCCCTAGTCATCATCCAAGTCATGGATGACCATTCTAGTATTGAAACCGGTGACTCGGGGATCCCCCATTTCAAGAAACTCCCATATGAAATCTCCTGAAGATCTTGAGTCAAACCTTTTTTTGGGCAGCGAATGAATCCATTTTATCTACCCTCTGGTGAACTAACATAGCAATGGAAAATCACCATTCTTAATGGGAAAATCCACTATAAATAGCCATGTTCCATTGCTATGTTAGTTCACCAGAGGGTAACCATTCTAACCAGTTCTTTCCATTTTTTTGGGTTCCCAACCCCCCGGCCCGTTCAACGCGAGGGCACCAGGTACACAACGCCCTGGAGCTTCAGAACAGAGTCCCGGAAGCCTGGCTCGTTGAGAATCACAAGGATGCCATTTATAAGGATACCATTAATGAGAATTAGTATTATGATATTTAATGGATATAATAGGTGTAATTGTTACTTCTATAATGTGATATACAATATCATTGAATATCATAATCATAATCATAATACCTATTCATGGCCGAAAAACGCCAACTTTTGACCCATGCGACATGTGATGTTTTCAGGGCCAAATCCCCAGTGCCGCGCACCTTGTTCCAGATCTGCGGAGAGTAATCCTGGAACATAATCCGTGAGCCCCGGAACGACTGGTTTGATGTATCGCCAATTGCCTGTTTCAGGTGAGTTGCCTGTAGGATGTCTGGCCTGGATCTCTGTGTTGTGTTTGTTTGTACGTCAGGTGTACATCGGTGCCATTGGTGCAGATGGTCGACAGGAAGACACTGACATGGCTGTCTGAAAATGGGGTACGGTATACCTCCCATTTATGGCGATTCTCCCAGGGAAAGTGAGGATTAATTAACCAGTAATTAGACGGAATGGGGTACCATAGGTGCTATATTTTCAGCCCAAGCTACATCTTCAGAAAGAAATGTATCTCAAGTTTTTCTCATCCATCAACCACCCTCTCCTCGGTAAAGAAAATCTCACAGTAGGTCAAGCTCTCAAACCCTACCCACAACGATCAGAGCTTGAGGAGCTCTCGAAAAAATGTCTACGCAGAAATAGCAGCACGATGTGTACATATGTCTATGCATTCTTTTTTTACACATATATACATATATATAATATAGTATAAAATATATATATAGATATTATATTATATTATATTATATATATATTATAAAATTATAGGTGCATGCAGTATACAGTATACACATATCATATGAATATGCGCGTAGGCCCAATACGTATGTATGTGGCAATGTGTATACATATATATATATTACATATATATATATATATTACATATATAAATATATATGCCTATATACACAGAAACTCCATCGTTTATAGAGTAGTTCTCCACATATTGTCCTATTGAAATTGAGAGGAGATCAATCCTAATTACGGCAAGGTTGGATGATTGTTGAAAACATGTTTGAACACATAGTATGAAATCCATGATTCAAAGGAATCCATTTTTTGGGGGTATACTTCTGATAATATATGGGGCCTTCAATAAAGGCTGCATGGATCGTCGTCCCCACCATATCTCCATGAAACTGCTGGTTACATCCCGAAACTCGGGGAGAATTTAAGTACCAATGAACCTCGCCGCATGAACCATGAAATTCCCAAAACTGTGGCATATCATGGCATATCAGCCCCAACAATAACTGCTTGGTAGTGCAAGAACCATCTTGAAATATATATGAAAGTCAGTTGGGATGATTATTCCATATATTATGGAGAAAAATAAAAAATGTTTGAAAGCACCAAGCAGATCAGATCAATTGAACCATCCAATTGTGGTGGATCAGTTTTGAGCCAAGACCACCAGATCCACACCTCCAAGCAAAGTCAAAGCCTCTCTGGCTTCGTTGGCCTTGGAAATGCGTGGATTCGTTGGCAACAAAAAAATGGGTACTTGAACCAGCAGAAATGATGATTTCGTCAACAGAAATGGTGCTTTAACCAGCAGAAATCATGTGTTGACCAGCAACATTCATGGCCGAAACCCAACCAATGCCTGTTGTACCAACGAGAATGCGGATTACGCTGATATGACGACACAAAGCTGAGACGCTTGGATCATTTCACGTGGATTGGTTTTTTTGATCTAACTGGAACATCAAATCGAGACACATCGAAACAATAGTTTAAATATCCTCAACATCACCACGTTTAATAGGTAGAGTACGTTTTCCGGAGGATAGTAGCCTTTCCCAGCTGTCTTTTGAGTGGCTCGAGAGTAAACAGTCAACATCCTCATTGTCCACTGGGTTCGCAGTCGATCTGCAGCTTGTGGGGCCCCAAACCAGCTTTGATTGCTTCCAACGCCTGCTTTGTTGACAAATATCCCTATTCAACCATGGCAAAATATCTCTAATTCCATCCCCATGTTTCTTGACGACTACTGCGAATACCCCATTCTCTGTTGTGTCAATACCCCTGATACGGCAAACCGGAATAAACATGAATAAACTATCCAACCGAACCTATTCCCTTTTGACACAAAATTTCCACCATTTAGGAGAATTGTAAACCATATTCAAAAACGGAATTGGGTTTGCCAACATTGTATTTGCAAAATATCTGATTCTTTTAAGCAAAGAAAGAACTATTATTGCCTCAAAACCCCAGGAATATGTGTATATATATATACACAGTATATAACATCTATGTCCCGTTCTACCGCCAAGGCACTGCTGTCTTGGAGGCCGCGTCCGCAGCCTGGCATCATGACCCAAAATTGGGATAGAATTTGGCAGATACCTAGCGAAAGGGGATGGACAACATCAGCAATCATTGGGACTACAACCTGTGTACATCAGGTGTGGCCAACGAGCTACCTCAAGGATACAACACATGAATAGTCTGACTTTTCCGTCAAGGTTGCCTAGTGAGATAAGGCCGCAAACTCAGTAATCAACCATACCCCACTTAGCCAATCGAATTATCAAAAAAACAACCGTTTCTTATACTTATACACTCTACTCGGATGGTGTTTGAACTTGTCAGATTAAGTCAAATGCATCAAAAATGTCCGAAACTTCCCCCAGTTCCAGGAAAATTTCCCCATCTTAACCAAAACCAAGGACCCTCCCTCCGTTCGCCCAGGCCCCGGCCTTGCCAAAGCAAAGGAGTGCCTTTGCCTGGTGGCCGACTGTCGTCCACCATCCCAGTCCCCCAAATGCACCTCTGTGAACCTCTGTGGACATTAGTTCATGGTGTAGTAAAATGTAGCAAATATGTGTCGTGTATATAATGGTTAATCATTTAAGCATCCATTTTTGGGGGTAGATTAGCCATTTCCATGTCAAATGTTTAAAGTTTCCAGAGTTGGAGACCCAGGTGCCGGAAACAGTTCAATCACCACTTGGACCTGATCGGCTGAAGCCACGGGACTGAGTGCCTTGTTTACATACATTAATATAGCCATGGCTCTGCGTGCATCAACAAACAAGACAGGGACACCAAGCGATTGTGCAACTCTTTGCAACAATCCAGTCAGTTAGAGTGTGATCCCACTGATGGACACCCTCCCTGGTTACCTTTTGAAGCCTCCAAAGCTTCTCTAGTGGTTGGCCTGTGCTGCGCATTGGCTGCACGGCATACCGGGACGCTTCAGTTTCCAGATGTTTTGGAAGTTGCCTTGGTTGGATCTCGCTCTCGCTGTCAAACTGCTGTCTTGCGCAAAACCCGCACCATCACAGGATCAATCCGCAGTACCCACGGTTTCAGCCACGGCATGGCGTTGGCCAGCGCCGCCAGCATCTTGCGGCCTGAGGATTTCAAAGAAGTCATAGCAGCTGAGCGATCCGTAGGGACAAGTACCACACGCCAGAGGCGCAGCGCCAAATCCTGATCCTTCACGTCGTGTTTTTGATGGTAGCTGGTGACATCCCCAATGGGCAGGGCAGTCAGCCAGATGATGGGAAGAGTGCACACGTTCAGCAGCAAAACTAGCACGGCCCAGGCGAGATTTTGCCGGAGCATCTTGAAACCCAAGAGGTATCCTCCAATTTTAAACAGGAGCAGAAAAAGTTGCTTCAATGCGAAGAAACTATCGAGATCATGGACAATTGGAAAGCGCAGGAATGCATCCAGGTGCCCCCAGACATTGCAGAAGAGCAAAATGATCAGGCTCCAAAGCGAGACGACACCCAGGATGTATAGCAACCACTCTTCCAAAGTCAGCAAAACCCACAGACCGAAAAGACTGCGCCGTACTTTGTCGGGTTCATTGGTTTCCACGAACTGAGGCCAGCTCCAGCAGACTCCCAAAACAAAACAAGTCACGTAGGTTCCATACGCTGCTAGCACGGCGATCGCCATGGCAAACCACTGCACCCTTCAGTCATGCTTGGACCATAGACAACAAATGAAGAGTTTATTGGTTTGTAAACCATCCCCAATATATCCAATATCATCATAAATGGGATTCAAATCATCGAATGATAGTCGTTTATGGCATCCCACATGCTGATCTCCCCATATTTTCTTGCTGTTTGGGGGTAAATCCCTGTTCCTATGGTTTCACCCTCGCCAGGCCTCCTCCATCACGTGCAAAGGCACCTTTGGGACGCCAATCTGTGGCATCAAGCAATGTCCGGTTTATCAAAAGTACCGAAAAAAACCTTACAGAAGCTTGATATCTTCACATCCACTTGCAGAGCTACAACTTTACCATGGTGTGGCGCCCACCCCGAGCCACATCCTCTGAACTATGAGACTATGTCCTCACAGGAGAACCAATGACTTTCATAAGTTCATAGATTGAAAAGTTTCAATCGCTCCAAGATGCTGCGGGAATTCCTTGGGAATGCGATGTTCTGGGCAGATGCTGTGCCATGTATCAGCTATTTCCAGCCGAAACACAGAAAGTCAACACTGAGGCTCCCGACATCTCGACCTGGGGCCAACCCCCGTAGGTCGTAGATCTTCAATACTTGAGAAGTTGATACTCTATATTAATACCTACATATTATTTTTATTACTGGATATTACTTGATATTATTGATGCTGGTTTTGAGATGTACATATGTGTGAGTATATAACTACATAAAAGCATGTCTATATATATATAATATCATATATTATATATGTATATATACATGTGGGATGCCACGTATATCAATATGCATGTTATACCTATGCACCAATCATCACTGAATTCCGCAACTCAGAGCAGATTTGTCAAGAGCCAACCTCGATGCACAGGAGACGGCAAGCATCGAGCCGATGCGCTGAAAAGATCGTGGGATTCAAACCATTTCTGAAGTGGTTATAAGAGTTGTATACTGTATATACTGATATGATCAGTGGTTAACTTATACATGTTATATACTGGTTATGATCTGATATTAACATCTGATATCATCTGACACAGTTGGTTTTTACATACTTAGACATCTGATACTGTTGCAAACTCTGATCGACTTCAAACGGTCGGCTCACGTTGCAGGAGACCGCTCACTCGTTGCCGGTGCATGCAGAATCTGCACAACTTGGCCATTGGGAAAAACCTTTGGTTTTTCCACCGTTCTCAGTGGATAGAAATGGTAAACCAACCAAAGAATCATGGTACATTAACAGTATCAAAGGTGGATGTTCCATAATGTCAAGAGTGCTGCCAAGTCTCTTCCATTTTTTGGTTGCGAGAGCAGTCGCGCAAATGAAATGCGTTCCGGCTCGCACAAGAGAATCTAGACACTGCAGAGGCAGTGAATTACAGTGTATTGCATGCCTGCACTTGCATCTATACAACAGCCAGAAGCGGATATTTGGGTCAAGTGTATACAACAGTAGGCTGTTGGGGTCATTATATAATAACGGTTGAGTGTATACCCTAACTACTTGGTGCACGACCCCCAGATCGCCGTGGTAAAATGTGCATTCTGACGTCTCAACAGTGTGTGGCGCCGTATCGATTTTCAGATTTTAGGTGTGAAAATCAGGGTTTTGGAATTTGACAAAACTACTTTTTTTTTGCACAACATCTGCTCGACATTGGCCCTTTTTTCTTCCATGGTTTCAGCGGATTTGTTTGGCGGCTTTGCCCAACCTTGCAAGGAAGACACTTGGCTGACACGGTCCTAGAGGCTTTCGCCACATGAACTGCTGAACTATTTTTTCAGCTCAGGATGTTCTTTCATTTGGTTGTGGCAGCCAAGACGTCTAGGAAAGCTACTTGGAATAAATTTCTTCAAGAACCTGTTAGACGCGTAGCATCACGAGCGTGTCTGAAGCTCCAAGAACCTGTTAGAAGCGTAGTATCACGAGCGTGTCTGCAGTTCCAAGAACTTGTTAGAAGCGTAGAATCACGAACATGTCTGCAGTTCCAAGAACCTGTTAGAAGCGTAGCATCACGAGCGTGTCTGAAGTTCCAAGAACCTGTTAGAAGCGTAGCATCACGAGCGTGTCTGAAGTTCCGAGAACCTGTTACAGGCGTAGCATCGCTGTCTGAAGTTCCAAGAACCTGTTAGACGAGTAGCATCACGAGCGTGTCTGCAGTTCTTAGAACCTGCTAGAAGCGTAGCATCACGAGCGTGCCTAACGGTCCAAGAACGTGTTAGAAGAAAGAAAGAAAGAAAGAAAGAAGCGCGCGACAAGAACGTTATTACACCCCCCCCACCCCCCAACCCGCCCCAACCCCAGAAATATACAAAAATCACATAAAACCGCACGGCGGAATAGGGGTCGTGGTCCAACTACTTGCATCTAACAGTGGGCCAATATTAATGCCATATTAAACGCATAATGGGTAGATCAACACTTCACTCTTAGGGGATTCGTACCAGTAGTACCGCACAAGGCGGCGGCGGAAGTTTCAAAAATAGGAAACTATAGGAGAGGTTGGTTGTTGTGAATCAGGGATGGCAGAGCGAAGCCACTGATGGACCGAAAGGTGCTTGAGGTCTCCTCTCTTTCTCTCTCTTTCTCTGACTATCTACCTACCTCCCTATCTATCTATCTATCTACCTATCTACCTATCTATCTATCTATCTATCTATCTATCTATCTATCATCTATCTACCTACCTACCTACCTACCTACCTACCTATCTATCTATCTATCTATCTATCTGCAAGATCAAAAACTAAGAAATTCTGCGAGACTCCCTTCATGTTTGAACAAAACAACGTCCAACAACGAAACAATTCTGCGAAACTTCTTAATATTTTTACACTTGACAACATCCAAAACGAAACAATTCTGCGAGACTTCTTCAATTTTTGAATTTGACAACATCAAAAACAAAAGAATTCTGCGAGACTTCCTTCAAAATGGAAAGTTGGGTGCAGCGCTGACAGCCTCGTACCAATGCGTTTTCCGATTTTTCTCCTCGACCTATCTAAAGTACTGCGCCTGCCACGAAAAATTGATGCCAGGTCATACGAAGTGCTGCACCTGTCACGCAAAATCACCTCAGCAGACCGGAGGATTTGATGCTCCAAAATGCAACCCATCTCGGGAAATGAGCGCCCTGACCTCCGAACATCTCTGATGAACATGTCTTGTGTACTGCGCCTGCCACGCGAAATGCATCTTTGCAGATCCTCTTCAAATGTCCCACGCCATCGTTTCTGGAATGCTGCAAAACCCTCACGCTTTGCTCACTTTGACAAGGTGCACAATCCTTTGCGCCTACCACGCGAAACGACATCTGAACCTCCAAAAGTCGTCCGAACCCCTGGTGTTTTGTACATTTCGACTCCGAAATGTGCTTCGCGCCACAACGGCGTGCACTTTTTCTACATCTCAACTTCCAAAAGTGGTCCGAACCTGGTGTGTTTTGTACATTTTGACTTGGAAATCTGCTTCGCGCCACAACGGCGTGCAATTTTTCATCTCTCATCTGGCCAACTGGCTCTGCACCCGCCGCTTTAGCGAGCCTACTTTTCGACCCTCCGGAGACACAAATCATTGGAAAAAACACAGCGTTTCGCGACTTTCCTACCTTTTCGCGCATCTGCATCTTCTTTCTTCTGACTCTTTCTCTTCTAATCTGTTCCCTTCTCTCTGCCTCTGCCCTGCTCTGCTTTTCATCTGTCCATATTGTCGGAAGTTTGACTTCTAAACTTCCTTCGATAATATCTGCATCTGCATCGCTTCGTGTTACCCACCATGTCAGTCACCATGTGTCACCTGAACCAACCCGTCCACCCGTCGGAAGTCTCAACGGCAAGAAAGGCGACCTTCTGTACACTGAAGGAGAAATTGCCCAAGCCCAGTCAAGCCCTCTACCAAAGCCATCCTGCATCACTTACACCGCCTGAGCATTGTGTATGGTCACCGACAGAATTATGGAAGAAAAAAAAACGTTCAACTTAGACAGGCGGCGCCTGCGTCCGATTTTTCCATAATTGGATTTTTCCCCATAAGGGTTCAAAATATCCGGGAAGTGATCCGAACCTTTTTTTTTCCATAATTCTTGGAGGTGACCATTGTTTCCATAATTGATTTTTCCTGTGAAATCAGGGGGCTAGGGCAGATTGACCGGTTTTTCCATAATTATTTTTTCCATAATTAATGTTTGGGGCTCCACCTGTTGGACATGTCATGGATCCACAATTCAAACCCTTTTTTTTGGGGGTTATGGAAATATGTATGCAAATGCAAGTATGTAGTATCAACCCAATTGGTGGCTTGGCAAAAGGAAACATCCAGATATTATGTATATCAATGGCAGGTTTTAGGGGCATATACCAGATCTTTAGACACATATTTTCTATAATTCAATATTCCCCCTTAAAATGCATTCAAATTGCAAACATCACATGATATTATGTATATCAATGGAAGACTTAGGGGCATATACCAGATCTTTAGACACATATTTTCTATAATTCAATATTCCCCCTTAGAATGCATTCAAATTGCGAATCGATGGACATACAGTCACCGACATAATTATGGAAAAAAAATAGTTATGGAAACAATAATTATGGAAAAAAAAAGTTCGTAACTTTTCTATCATAGACAGGCGGCGCCTGTAAATTGAAACGGTTTTTTTTCCATAATTCTGTCGGTGACTGTAGCCATCAAAAACAAGGGGTCGCTGAGTCACTCAACATCTGTACTCAGGGTCAAAGTGATGAAGGGCCAGGTTTGAGCATCCATGAGTGGAAATCCAAGTCGTTTCCTCCGTGTTTTCTTACATTGCATCTGTATTGGTTTGTGGAAATGTGGTATACTCCCAACTGGCTATTCTAGAGGGAAAACCATGCTTAACGATTGTAGGGGTACACTTCAGACAAACCCATATGAAGAAATGTCCCATGAAATCTCTGCAAATCTATGGTGTCTGGGCGCCTCTGCAACGGATGTTCCATCGGTTTCCACTCCCAGAGGCAGCGGCCCCTGATTCATGCACGGGGTCGCACAGAGCGTCCCCACAAAAGACATGGAAAGAGGAAATAACAACCGCACTCTTGGTGGTTGGAAGTTCAGCTATAAAAGTTTCACAGCAGTCGGATCTGCCATGCTTCCCTAGGCTGCCTCAACGAATTTGCTGCCCAACGAATTAAATTTCAAAACCTTATATAAACCTGGATCATCTTCGATTTCTGTTGCCATGCTCAAACCTAAGCGAAAGCCCAAGGCCAGGTACCTTTCCGAAAAAATGTTGAGTCTTGGCACCTTTCCCCTCGATATCCCAGATTCAACAGCGTATCATTTCCGGGAAGGAACTTCCATGAAGAAGTGTTCAAAAATCCGAATTTAGGGGAAACTGAAGACCGCCACTCTGGAACTGAATTCGACTCCACAAGTTGGTTTGTTCAGGCAGAGCATTATGGCATCAGAAATCCAGGCTCGCACGTTCGTGCAGCAAACTACTCCAGCAATTGTCCTTTGCGGACTGGGTTTGTCCAAAGAGTGCGGAAACCAAATATCTTTTTTTTTCCAGACCCAGAAATGGTTGCACCCTGTCAAATCAGCTGGTTCCTAAGGATTTCAGCAATGGATTGCAATAGTCCCCATTCAACGGGTTAGTACAATCCCAAAGATGAAAACGGTTTCTGCCTCAAAACCCCACATTTTTTCTGGGATGCTCTTCGTGAATCTCTCGAATACGTGCAATTATAGAGTGTCCCCAAATCCCATGGTTAATCACTATTTCCCTATTAAGATTGCCAGAAACTAGTGGTATATCCCATTTTCAGACACACCCAAATATCAGATTCCGTTATATCCCCGTGATCGTTGTATATCTACATTTCTCCACCTTGTTTAATCCCAACAAAGCATCACCCATTTTGACGATGCGCCTGATGATTGTTGGTTTATAACCGCAAAAAAGAGGAATGTACTCCATTATATCCCCATATTGCATCCCCATTCTCTTGTTGGTGAATAACTATCACTCTGAATATAACTTCAAAAACAAAACATATTGTGGCAAACCCAATAATAAACCTACCATTTGGGGACGGTGTATGCCACCCACTTCTGGTGATTTTTGGCATGGTTGGTTATTGGCTTTACATGAATTTTAGACATGGTGATTTTGTGATTGGGTTCTACCAATCATAATCACCTGAATATTGCCTGGGATTATGATTGGTAACTTACCACCCGGATATTTACCACAGTATGTAATTCCCATGATTCTCCCCCTCTTCCCACGTCCTCAATTCGCCAGCACGGTAGTGGCCGTTGGGAGTACGGTGGTGGTCTTTGGTCGACGTCTGCGGCGACAGACCCCATGGACCTGGCAGCCAGGTGTGGCAATATCTACATGATATGTGTGTAACATGTACAATATCTATATTATACTATATATATAATATATACATGTTATAAATAAAATAATGTCATAATGTATATCTATATATAAATATATACATTATGTATATAATAATGTCATAATGTATAACTATATATAAGATATATATCTACATTACATATATATAATGTCATACTGTACATCTATATTTAATATATTGTATATAATGTCATAATGTATATCTATATATACATGAATATTTTATATTATAATGTCATAATGCATATCTACATATGTATCATATATATATAATAATGTCATAATACATATATATATACCTATATATATATTTATTTATTAAATAATAACGTCATGATGTATATCTATAAATAGGTATTTATTTTACATAAAATAATGTCATAATGTATATCTATATGTATATATTATGTATAATAATAATGTCATAATGTATATATATATCTGTATTATATATAATATAAAATATATTTAAAAAAAATGAAATAAAATATATAATATAAAATATAAAAAATATAATATATAATAATGTATCTATATATATAATATAATATAATTAAAATAATGTCATAATGTATCTATATATATCTATATTATATATAATAATGGCATAATGTGTATATATATATATCTTTTTTGATTATATTATGTATAATACTATCATAATGTATCTATATATGTATAATATTATATATATTATACATATATATATTATACATATATATATATATATATTATTTTATTATATATATCATATATATGATAATATCATAATGTATATCTATATATCTATATCATATATATATATATCTAATAATGTCAAAATGTATCTATATATATATACCTATATTGTATATATAAGACTAGAGGCACAATGTATATCTGTACGTATATATATATATACTAATGTCATAATATATATCCATACATATTATATACTGTATATATATAATGATGTCATAATGTATATATATATAAATACATTTCTATATTATACATGATAATGTCACAATGTATATCTATATAAATCTATATTTTTTGAAAATAATGTCATAATGTATGTCTATATATATATCTATATCAAACATAATAATTTCATAATGTATATCAATATTATATATATATGTATAATGTCATAATGTATAACTAGATATGTATATATCTATATTATATGAAATGTGAATGTCATCATGTACCTAGTCATACATAATCTAAATATCCTATACACTTTCTATAGTATCTATATTATATGTATGGAACATTTATATATATATATTATAAGTATATTGTATGTATGTTGTGTGTATTATCTGTATGTTATATGTGTGCTATAAGGATATGTTATAACATGTAAATGATATGTTAATTCGATTTTTACTGTAAGTATACAATGTAGATATATATATACATAATAATTATGTATGTACGTACATACGTACGTACATATGTACATATGTACGTATGTACGGTATGTATGTCAAATCTATGTACGTATGTATGTCAAATGTATGTCAAATGTATGTATGTAATGTAGAGTAACGATAAGTAAGGAAACATAATGTAGGTAGATAGGTATGTATGTATGTCAAATGTATGTCAAATGTATGCATGTATGTATATATATATGTATGTATGTATGTATGTATATATGTATGTATAGATGTATGTATATATGTCTGTATATATGTACGTAAATATGTATGTATATGTATGTATATATGTATGTATATATGTTTGTATATATGTATACATGTATGTATACATGTATGTATATATGTATGTAAATATGTATGTATATATGTATGTATATATGTATGTATATATGTATGTATATATGTATGTATATATGTACGTATATATGTACGTATATATGTATGTATATATGTAGGTATATATGTATGTAAACATGTATGTATATATGTATGTATATATGTATGTATATATGTATGTATATATGTACGTATATATGTACGTATATATGTATGTATATATGTAGGTATATATGTATGTAAACATGTATGTATATATGTATGTATATATGTATGTATATATGTATGTATATATGTACGTATATATGTACGTATATATGTATGTATATATGTAGGTATATATGTATGTAAACATGTATGTATATATGTATGTATATATGTATGTATATATGTATGTATATATGTATGTATATATGTATGTATATATGTATGTATATGTATGTATGTATATATGTATGTATATATGTATGTATATGTATGTATATGTATGTATATGTATGTATATGTATGTATATGTATGTATATGTATGTATATGTATGTATATGTATGTATATGTATGTATATGTATGTATATGTATGTATATGTATGTATATGTGTATGTATATGTATGTATGTATATGTTGTATATGTATGTATATGTTATGTATCTGTATGTATATGTATGTAATGTATGTATGTGTATGTATGTGTTTGTATATGTATGTAGTATGTCCTATGTAGGTATGTGTATGTATGGTATGTCTGTATGTATGGTATATGTATGTATATGTATATGTATATGTATATGTGTATGGTAGGTTTAATGTGATGTATGTATGTATGTATGTATGTATGTATATGTAATGTTGTGTATGTATGTATATGTTATATGTATATGTATATGTATATGTATATGTATATGTATGTATATGTATGTATGTATGTATGTATGTATGTATGTATGTGTATGTGTATGTGTATATGTATATGTATATGTATATGTATATGTATATGTATATGTATATGTATGTGTATATGTATATGTATGTGTATATGTATATGTATATGTATATGTGTATATGTATATATGTATGTATGTTAAATAAATGTATGTATGTCAAATAAATGTATGTATGTCAAATAAATGTATGTATGTCAAATAAATGTATGTATGTCAAATAAATGTATGTATGTCAAATAATTGTATGTATGTCAAATGAATGTATGTATGTCAAATAAATGTGTGTATGTCCAATAAATGTATGTATGTCAAATAAATGTATGTATGTCAAATAAATGTATGTATCTATTTATGTATGGATGGATGGATGCATGGGTGTATGTGTGTGTATGTTTGTATGTGTGTATGTGTGTGTATGTGTGTGTATGTGTGTATGTAGGTACGTACTACGTAGGTACGCATGCAGCATATGTATGCATATGTATGCATATGTATGCATATGTATGCATATGTATGCGTGTATATATATATGTGCATATGTATGCATCTGTATGCATAATGCATATGTATATATATATGCATATGCATATCCTTTGTATATCCTGTGTATACATATCATCTGTATATCATATGTATATCATATGTGTGTCATATGTATATCATGTGTATGTCATATGTAAATATACTTATTTTATATGATATGTGTGCAATGTATATCTTTAGTGATTATAGAGAGATGTATGGCTGGATAGATTGATGGATGGGTAGATAGTAGATAGACCCCTGTATAAAAAGTATACTGAAATATGTCTAAAATCCAAATGACTCCTATTCTGGCTCGTTTAATCCCCTTTTTTTCCAGGTCAAAACCCTCAAAAAGAAGGGTCAAAGTACTTGGTTCTGAGTGGTGTCAGAGTTGTGGAACCCTGCCATCTGTCTCAGAAAAAAATAGAATATTTCTGCTGGAAAAAGAACTATACAGGACCCAGAAAACGGACTGGATTTCTTGACATCGAAAAAAAAAACAACTTCCAAATGTAAAAATATATGTTTATAGATATGTATATATATATGTGTATATTATAGATAGATAAGTAAAAATTGTACATGTACATGCCCCTAACCTCCCCGAAGCTGTCCCATGTTCGACCCTGTTCAACCGGTGGCTGAAACAAGACCTGACCTGCTCTTCCTCAGAATGCTCTTCCACTTCCACAAAGGTGTTCCTGACCACCATCCGAAAGCTGCCTGGCCCGGGGTATCCAACATGGCTAGCTTGGAAAATCCCCCAGAAAAATGGAGGTTTGATGAAGTTTATAGCTTGGAAATCATGCATAAATAATAAATGGATGTAAATGGATGTAAATGGTGGATTTTCCATTGCAATCTTTGGTTGGGAAATCCATCCGCCATGGATCTTGCGAGTGTAGTTGAACAGTTGAACCATCCAATGAATTGAGGCTTTTGAGGTCAAGTCCTTGGGTCCTTGGGTATGGAAGGGTTGCGGAAACGGCCAGTCTTCACGTATGGTTACCATGGACTCTAAAAGTTCGATTACCCCGATCTGTCAGATTGAGTATCCCCAGATTTGACATGAAGTCTATTTCAAGAGGCAGAATATATAAGAAACTGAATCTTCCACCGCCATATTTGTGTGTTGCATCCAGCCAGTTTCCAAGTGTACATCCTCAATCACCGACTCTTAACTTTCAGAGGACGCAGACGTCACATGATTGCAAAGCATTGAACAGGACGCTTATGACCAAAATGTGAGTACAGATCGGAAGGTCACTCTTCAAGAGCCTTCAAATATCGCACATACCGGCACATACCAATTGGGAGGTGATGTTTGTCTCTTAAACCACCATGTCTATTTGTTTAACCACCATCTTTTCCTGCTACCATCATATATTTCTAGGTGAAAGTAACACCTCTGTGGTTTCAACCATTAGTTTGCCTGGCCATGTTTGCTGCGAAAACCCCACTATTTTTCTTGGTGAAAAGCCCCCATTTTTCGTGGCTTAGCGCCCTAAACCTCCACCTCCCCTCACCTTGCTGACACCCTTGCGCCCGCACCACAGGTGGCGGCTCTTGGAAACGGTGCAGGAATCGCGGTTCGACAACTTCCTTGGTGTCTGAGAGTTGAAACGGAATAGCATGGGAATATGATGGGAATATCATGGACATATCATGGGAATCCCATGGGAATATCATGGGAATATCATGGAAATACCATGGGAATAACATGGGAATAGCATGGGAATCCCATGGGAATATCTATCATGGGAATATCATGGGAATAGCATGGGAATCTCATGGGAATAGCATGGGAATATCATGGGAATAGCATGGGAATATCATGGGAATATCATGGGAATATCATGGGAATAGCATGGGAATATCATGGGAATAGCATGGGAATACCATGGCAATATCATGGGAATATCATGGAAATACCATGGGAATATCAAGGGAATATCATGGGAATATCATGGAAATATAATGGGAATATCAAGGGAATATCAATCATGGAAATATAATGGGAATATCATGGGAATGGAATGGGATGTATATAATTGGATGTATAGAATGAGATGTATATAATGGGATGTCTATAATGGGATGTATATAACGGGATGGAATGGGAATATCATGAGATTTCCGCTGTGGGAAACATACAAAAAACTATGGAAAATCACAATGTTCGAAAAATCAACCACAAATAGCAATGTTCAATGGCTATGTGAAATTATCAGAGAGTAGGACTTTACCATCTCTTTGATGAACTAATGGAAATTTACCCACAGAAATCCTGGAATTGTGCGTGCCAGAAGTCGATTCTTACAACATTGTGAAGGGGTTGATTCGAAAGGAATTAAATTGGAATTTACCATAAATTACCACAATGAATCTTCCACAAAAATATTGGGATGTTACCATTCCCACAATCTCAGCTATGGCTTGGTCTGAAAAAAAAAAAGTGACGCGGTGACCCCTATATGTTCTCCACACTTTTTTTCAGCTCAAATGCCGGGGGCTAACCAGCAATGATCAAAAATGAGGATTTACTCTCGAATTTCATGGTTTAAAAACCGCATGGTTTCCCCCTGAACAAAATTATACAAAACGGATGGCCGCCATGTCACGTGCAGCGTGGGCGCAGTGGATCCACCATTGGCACGGCGGTAGGCCGTCTTTCCCACCAGAAAACAGGCAATGAAGTGCTCGCGGATCCTGAACCCATTTCTTGGTGGCTCAACCTATTTGGGGATCATCCCGTTATCTCATGGGGCGCCACTTGATGGTTGCGAAACAAACCACTTGGGTCTGTCTTTTGGGAGTAATTCTAATGGAACAAAACAGGACCATTGAATCCAGCGTTATCCTGTTTTCAGACAAAGCCATTTCAAGAATCGTGTGGGATAATGATTCTTGCCTCTTTGTGAACTAGGTTTATTCCCAAACAGCATTAACTTGGGGGTCTTAGCCCAGATAAAGGTTCGGTGCGGCTTCCGGTTCGGGGTTCCGGGTGGGATGCCACTGGGCTCTTGGGGATACCACCTGGGAGTATATGGTGATATTCTGAGTGCTTGCAGTGTTGGTTGCTGTCTGAACTATCCCAAGAATGTGCCTCAAAACCAGATCAACCATCCCACCCGAGTCCATATGAGGATTGAAATCCAAAACTTCTCCATCCCAAAGATCCCCATGTCAATTCCATGGTTGGGCGGCTCCAGGTTTTGTAGCGGTTATTGGGGGGATTCCCAAAGTTTATCCATCAATTGGAAGTGTCCTAAGTCGGGATCCCCAAATCACCATAGCCCTTCGTCCAGGCGCTGGTTCCAGGCGTGTCGGGATACCGCGCATTGGTAGGGCACCAGACTCCGACCATCCAACGTCTCCTTGAAGGGGGCCGGGCTAAGGCCACATTTTTGCGCCCAACAAATGTAGGTTGAAAGATGGTGAAAGGTTGAACAAATTGCCAGCAAAATTGGGTGGCCATGTTTTTGCTGTAGAAAAGATGCAACAAATGTCGTCAAATGTCGTAGACTCAGACGTTGGTCTGGGAAATCTCATGAAATCTCTGTGCCATCAGAGAAAAAGCAAAAAAAAACATGATTAAACGCTTCTCAAGGGCAGAGCAATTACCCTCCGCTCATTCAACAGTGTGCTATGGTATAGACGACCCATGCTTCTAGAGGATTTTCCTACTTCAATGCCCATCTATAAAGGATTTCCCATAGCTACGCCTTTTTTTACACGAGGGTTTTTTTGACCCATCACCATTCTCACATTCGCCAAGGCTCGTAGACCGCTAGGTCCTTTTCGAGATTCCTGACTTGGCATACCCTTGGGATTGGTAAGCAACCAGGAGGATGGACAAATATTCAAACTCGAAAACCATGGAATTCATTCCCCAAAAGTCGTTTTTGTACCCTCAAAGATATACGGTTAGCGTATGTAAAAAAGGGGATTTACAAGGGATCCCTATGTGGCTGGAAAACGTTGACCCAAACACAGCTCAGACCCTGCGTATTTCGCGTTAAAATTGCAGCAGGCGTCGCTAAGAACTGCGCCAGGTACTTCGACAAACGGAACTTCTCACCGGTGACCTGTAGCTGTGTGGCTCTATGTGAGGATCCTTGACACATCACATCCGCTTGTGTTGCAAGTGGACGGCAAGAAACTGAATGGCGAATTCTCACCCCAGCATCTGTCCCACAGTTGAGGTTGGTCTACACACAGAAGACTTCTTGGCAGATTTGGTGGGTGCTCTCTGGTAATTCACGGTGTTTTTTCAAGGTAAATCGAACTCAATGGGCCCCATGGCCCCATGGCCCCATGGCCCCTGTTGTCAACCCATGCCATGCCACCGGGTTGGTTTGGAAGCGCCGCCACCTTTGCAGTTGCAAGTGCTGTCCTGCTGAAATCACCACCGTTGGATCCTGCTTGGATCCCTCCTTCAAAGGGTAGAGCGGCAACCCACGTTTACCTCAGTACCCATGGAATTTCCTGGGGAACTCACCCCAAAATAGCTGGGATTTGTGGATGTTCATCCCCCCTGGTACAACAATGTATAAGAAAATGTCTGCTCCATTCCCATATTTCGATATTCGACTAATCATGTCATATCATATGTGTTGGCAACAACCCGCATCATTCATTGCTTACAAGATGCTAACGCCATTTTGGCTGGTTCTCTCTCCAACAGTTGTGACGTGATCTTCTCAGTATACAAGAACCGTCCTTACTTGTCACATCCACTGGTCATTAGGTCATGACAGTGGTAGATACATAGGTTTTCTATGAATATCACTTTTAGGGCATCATTTTTTAAGTCGCTATTTCACCACCGGTTCAAGTGATATTTCAACCATTTTAATGGCCAAAAATGTTGAGCCCCAAGAATCCTCATCAGGAAATCTATGGATCAACCCGAGCCCATGTCCAGGTGGCAGCTCTGAATGGTCAGCACAATGTAGAGACGTTCATCCATCACCCGCAGCTCTCCGCAGGCCTGAAAATCAATGAACATCATATGTGAATGGCATAATAATGTGGTTATAAATTTATAAAAGTTATAATGGCATGTATAGGAGATAAATGGGAATATCATGTACGGATTATATGTATGTATATATATACACATATACGTATGTATATTTGTTTATATATACGGAGACGTGATCCGGAGAGAGGTCTGCAGAGTTGGTTTCGACCAGCGAAACCCGAAACCCGAAACCCGAACCCGACTGTTAAAGTTGGTTTCGAACTGCGAAACCCGAAACCCGAAACCCGAAACCCGAAACCGACTCTGAAGGCTTAACTTCCCGAGGACTGATCGAAACCCGAAACCCGAAACCCGAAACCCGAAACCGACTCTGAAGACTTACCTTCCCCAGGACCGATCGAAACCCGAAACCCGAAACCGACTCTGAAGACTTAACTTCCCCAGGGCCGATCGAAACCCGAAACCCGAAACCCGAAACCCGAAACCGACTCTGAAGACTTAACTTCCCCAGGGCCGATCGAAACCCGAAACCCGAAACCCGAAACCGACTCTGAAGACTTAACTTCCCCAGGGCCGATCGAAACCCGAAGCCCGAAACCCGAAACCGACTCTGAAGACTTACCTTCCCCAGGACCGATCGAAACCCGAAACCCGAAACCCGAAACCCGAAACCGACTCTGAAGACTTACCTTCCCCAGGACCGATCGAAACCCGAAACCCGAAACCCGAAACCGACTCTGAAGACTTACCTTCCCCAGGACCGATTGAAACTTACCTTCCCCAGGACCGATCGAAACCCGAAACCCGAAACCCGAAACCGACAGCGAAAGTTGGTTTCAAGCGACGAAACCCGAAACCCGAAACCCGAAACCGACAGCGAAAGTTGGTTTCAACCCGACGAAACCCGAAACCCGAAACCCGAAACCCGAAACCGACAGCGAAAGTTGGTTTCAATCGACGAAACCCGAAACCCGAAACCCGAAACCGACTCGAATCCGACTTTTGGGTGGCTCTCCGGATCGGAACTCGATATACGGGATAAATCATCTATCAGTGGAGGAAATTGTCACATGTAAAAAAAAAATCCGGTGATCATACGTGGCGTTCGAAAATCCCCCATGAGAGTAGATGGGGAACTTCCGTGTTTGAAAATGTGTTTTTTTTCCCTGGCCGTGTTTGACCACCAAAGGGTAACAAGATGTCAACAAAGCAATCACTGGGCTTATAGCCAACAAAAGATGAGGAGAAGCAACACGACTCGGATTATATCCAACCACGGGGATATAAACCAATACTCATTGGAAGAAGGTTCTGGAGATAGGCAGATCGAACCAAGATGGTGCACCAAAAGCGATGGGCATACGAACATAATCAACAAAACTTAGGGTCAACCTAGAAATTGTTTGCGCGGATATGTCCAGAAACCACGGAAGACCATGGAAACGCAGCACTTCCCTGTATATCAGTCATGGGTGGATAAGTGGATAGCCTAAAGAAAGTCCGAATCTCACTTGACAGATCTCAAATGATGCGAAAAATACAAAGCTCCCTGAAGAACTAAGAAGATCAACCACCAGCATCAACGCCTCTGTATCCTTCATCCTCGACTTCTATCACCTCCTGTCATATAAAATGCCAAGACACGGGTCCGTTGAGCATGAGGTGACATGCACGCCGCATAGAGTCCAAGATCAACTGGAAATGGAGGTCGCTCCAACTGCAAAACGTCTCTTCCTGCGGTAGCAGCTGCAAATATCTTCATCGAGAGATCTATGGGGATTTCTGCCCTTTTTGAGGAGTCCAAGCGATGACTTCTGTCAGCAAGAATTGGGCACATCCAAAAACTCAAGGTGTCCAAAATCCATTCTTTCAAAGGCACTGGTCGCCTTACCAAGAATCAAGTGCCTTCCGCCAGCGACGACTGTTGGCCGCCTAGCTGGTCTATCCAATCTGAGGTACTAGGAAACATCGCAAAACCAGACCCAACAGATTCAATAGATGATGCCCTTTTCTTATAAATAACAACAGGATGGTGCCCCCCAGTTATAAGTTGGTTTATAAACCCCTTTAACTATAGTGATCTATAGTTATATCTACCATAAACCATAGTTGAGCCACTGATATGTCAACGGAACGATATCTTGGGGGCCCCATCCTGTAACCTTTGTAGAAACCCATGGTCCCCCATGGTCCGGGATGCAGAAGATCTTCACCACATCCACCAAAACTCCGGAGACTCCGGGGCCACGCCAGCAACACAGCAGCATGCCTGGTGCTGGTGCCCAATGGTGATTTCACCAGTAAAAATCTTTAAAAAAAAAACAGCAAAGATTGGAATTTCACCATCAACTTCATCCAGAAAAAATTACAAAAACATCAAAGTAGGAAAGATGGTCACATGGTCATCAACCATATGGTCACCATGTAGATATTCCCCCAAGACTGGGATATCACCAATTTAGGCTGGTTGGTGGTTGACCCCTCTGAAAAATGAGATGGAGTTCGTCAGTTGGGATCATGAAATTCCCAATATATGGAAAATTAAAAAAAAAAACACCAACCAGTAGATAATTCGATGAGAAATGGTTGATTTCTCTGGATTTCAAGTTCTCGGCTCAAAAAAAAACCTCAAAATCCACCCGGTTTACCGCCTTCTTGCGGATCGTCACCTTCGTTGAAGACCTCGGATGCGGCGATGCGGTTCCGGCTGAAGAATAGTCGGTTGGGATCCCCCAAATCGGCTTGAAAATAAAACATATATGACCAGATATAATCATATATATATATTGGCTTGATTCACAACATATGAGTTCATATATGGTGCCTCACCAGCTGCGGGGTGCGCAGTGCGAGCGCGCGAGCTTTTAACACGTGCGCGCGCGAGGTGCGCGAGCAAAGACAGGAGAGCTTATTTTCGCGCGCGGAGAGCTTATGTCAGCTTATTTGCGCGCCGCGCGCGCGTGCTGACCAGCGCGCGCAGTGCTCGCGCGCCTTGCTCGCACACCTCGCGCGCGCCTGTCTTTGCTCGCGCGTCTCGCGCGCGCGCCTGTCTTTGCTCGCGCACCTCGCGCGCGCGTGTGTTAAATGCTCGCTCGCATGCGCGCGCGTGATTTCAACTGGAAATGTTTCATATGTTTTAAAAAATGACAATATATATATATATATGTATATATATATATGTATATATATATATGTCATATAACCATTCTATCCTGTTAAACGTGGTTAAATCATGTTAAATCCCGATGTCTGTTGGTGAAATAGCCATGTCATTCTTCGCTCGACCTATGATTCGCTCTGGGTTCCCGCGCCGCGTAGGCTGAGTCTCCTTCGGATGGATAGTCCCGTCGAAAGCCTCAGATATGGGGACCACATTAGATTAATATAATGTTAATAGCTAGACATTCGATGAGTATTAACCATTTTGTCTAGCTTGATATGTTTAATACCAATGATTCAATGATTGGAATGTCTATGTTAGTATTGACCATTCAATTATTGGGCCAATTTTGAGCCATATCCATCTGTTGAATGTATAAAAAAGAATAGTTTGTATAAGGCTACAGTGGGGATGTTCTGGTGAGAGGATTCTCATGGATTCTCATTGGGACTGCACTACATGAGAATGTGCATGCAGAATAGCGTTCAATACTCCTCCAACCATGAAAAACAAGCTCAGATTTATCCCTGGCACACACTGCAAAATGCTCAGACCAACTTATATAATATCTATATATATATATATATGTATATTAGAGAGAGAGAGAGGGATCAACAGAGATCAACAAGAAAGCATGACTATTGTAGCATCATCCATGTGTTCCTTCCATGCCAATAAGAAAATTCTCGATTTGAAGGACTTCTTAGCACCAAGAAACGCTGATGGGTGACCATCGGTTCCAACCTCAACGGGCTCATTCGGCACTCACAGGATCCTGCCATCTCCTCGAAAAGTACCTGCTGGTGGAAACCCAATAGAGATCATTTTCGGTTCGACCCCACCCATATATACAACCAAGCACGCACCCACTTTTCCAAGACCCCCTATCATCCACCCTGGCTACGTGCCACCAATCATTTCTGTCATCCATTGAAAAACTGCGAACGGGTTAGAACGGGATTCCCGTTTCATGGAAAGGGTAGCTTGGCAACCTCCAAAAAAAACATCAACCAACCATCATCTATCTATTTATTATATATATATATGTATATATATATATATTCCTATCTTTTCATATTTCATATTCAAAAAAAACAGACAACAACGGTCAACAACCCCTGCGAACTGAGGCACTGAGGTGTCGTTGATCCCCCAAGCCCTTCGTGGACGTCGCAGGACAACCTCACCAGGTGCCAGCACTGACGGCCCGGTGCCGAAGAGCTCGGGCCGCACCTCGAGCGAGTGCCGTGGCACCATGGCATGGCAAGGGGAGTTGGAACGAGTTCTTGTGAGGAAAAAAATGGGAGTCGAAAACCTGGAACAAAAATGGATTTGGAATGAACTCATGAAAATCATATCCGACGATGATGTATATAACAGGAACCAGAAAGGGGAAGAAAACACGTACCAATGGACCAAGGCCCCCATCCCTTCAAGGCCCAGGCGCCAGCATGCAGTTCATCTGTTCAGGCGGGTGACGCACTTCGAACTTCGACAAGATCACTTTCACCAGTCGGCCGCCCCAGGGGCAAGCAGCGTGCGACAGGTTGGTCTGCGGTTCGTAGACTTTGAAGTCCCATCCTGGCAGATGGTGACGCAGGCATTCAGGATGCATCCGAAGGAAAAAGAGTGGGTTTAGGGCACCATCGGCCTGGATCCCCACATCAAGTGTTCTTTGGTAAAGTTTGACCTGTGATTTCTCATATACGTAGACTCCTAGCGTGAACGAATCCTGCTCCCCATGGATAAATCTGGCCAGGCCATTGACCACGGCACAGCTGCTGCTGGGACCGAAACTATATCCGTTTCCCCATGTTCTTTCGATCCAAAATCACCACTTGCGTTGTACAAACATCATCTCAAAATACAAAATCAATCAAAATCATGTGGGTCTGTCTGAAACTAAGGTACCCCAACTCTTCATGGTTCAGCCTTTTCCCCAAACGGCAACAGGCGAAACTTCGTTCAGATGGGCCTGCATCATCCAGCAAGTTGGGCACCAAGCGAAACCAGTCTTCCACCCTCCGAGGCCGTCCGTTGCTTCGCGACATCACTACAGTGCGGCGCTGGACGCTGGACGGAACGCTTCGAAAAGAGCGCTGCAGTTTGTCCAAATTGGTGGCGATGTCAGGGGTCAAAATCGAGTACTGAAAAAACATCCGCTTGTTAACTGTAGAAACCTGTAGAAACCTGTAGAAACCTGTAGAAACCTGTAGAAACCTGTAGAAACCTGTAGAAACCTGTAGAAACCTGTAGAAACCTGTAGAAACTGACAAATCAATGATCCTTAACAGATTTGAAATGTGCCTATCAAAAAAAGAAGACGGGACCTGAAAATCTGTGATTCTCAGGAAGTCTCCGATTTTCAGCCATCCCCCAGCCTTCTTCCCGCAGGGTGGCTAAGCTATCTCTGGCAGCTGCCAAAGCCTCCTCTGACCTGTTAGGCCCACTGTATAACGTCCAAAAAAAGCAGGAAAGGATTGAGAAGGATAGAACAGGCAGGTTTTTTTTCATGACTATTTTAGTCATAGTATTGGATCTGACTTTTCTGCATCTTTTTGAGGCTTGCTATACGTGGAAAATCTGGGTATGAAACACTCAGTGATGGCACAAATATCACCGTCTGTGCAACCAATTCGTCAAGAGGATGCATCAAACCCTACATTCGCCGCCCTTAAGACACCCAGACAATATCATAGTCACCTGAGGATAAACGACAAAGACCTGCTGCAGCGATTTTGACTTTAGGTTTCAGGATTTCGGGTTCAAGGGTTAAGGTTTCAGGGTTTAGGGTTCTAGGTTTTGAGGGTTTTAGGGATTATTGATTTCGAAAGTTTAAAAAAGATCAAAGGAAAAAAAGTATACAGGGATTTGAGCATGTCAAAGGATATGCAAGATCTGACAGGGCAAACGTAGGGTTTGCAGTGAACAATTTTCAATCACACTATTTTGTTTTATTTTGGTTGGTTGAAACCCGATGTTCCCCAAGTGTTGCTTAAACCCCATCTGACTTGCTTCATACTTCAACTGTATCCCCCATTTTCAGACACCAGGAAGGACCGACGGCTGACACCCGACGCAGGTCTCCGGGCGAGCTCAACTGCAAGTGAGCCGAGGACATCGTGCTCAACAAGGAGCCCACCTCGGCAGAAGTCCTTTTTTCGGATGAATGTGATCAAAAATGTGTGCCCATTTGGTGCCGTGATTTTTGGATCAGCAAATTCTTCACACACAAAAAAACACTAACAAGGGGAAACTCTTCTGGTGAAACATCCAGGAAAAAATCGACCTTTTGAGACCCATATGCGGTGCCAAGTTGCTGCTCGACGTTCTTCCAGATCACAAAACAGACGGCCTCCGCTGGCTATGGCCAGAATGCTTGCGCCCCTCGAACAGATGGAAAAGTACACTCTGGTAAACTAACATAAGTATGTAAAATCACCATTTTTAATGGGTAAATCAACTATTTCTATGGTCATTTTCCATAGCTATGTTAGTTTCTATGGTCATTTTCCATAGCATCAAAATGGCCATACTTCTCTGCTCTCTGTGGGAACCATGTACCTCCTAACCTATCTATCCCCTGCCATAGCTGGTCCAAATGGTCCCAATGCCAAGAGATAGAGGTAAGCATAGCCCACAAAATTAAGAACAACCCCAATTTCAAGAACTTTCCAGTAATATGCTTTCCCAAAATTCGGGATATTGATGGATATTGCACATCCCCCGAACTCCACGAGTGTTTCCCTACCAAAAATGATCAACGTGCGGTGATTTCGGGGTTAGAAGCAGAACCAGCTCAGTTCCCAGGCCAGCTTCTGAGCACAGCTGCAGCGCAGCCTCTGGCCCTGGGCGTGAACTCAGGTCGGCTCCGAGGCTGTTTTTCAGGAAAGCCATGGTTTGTTGTAAAGCATCAAGTGTAAATACATAAACATTGCAGGGATGTCAAATTCTGAGATAATCGGAATGTGGTCACCCAGCCGTTCAAAACATCCCCCATCTGATTGTTGATAGGTGTCCCTACTATAGATTATAATATCCCCTAGGTATCCCAACCAGTTTGTAAACCTAACCTGCATCTGCATAACCAATCCACCATCATGTATCACTTATCTCATATCACTTATATATATATATCCCCAAAAATGGCTGTGTCTGAAAATGGGCTAATCCCCTATTTCTAAGCCATTTACTCGTTCAAAATCACTGGCTAAACCATAGGATGGACTGGGGTCCCCCATGAACCAACCATGACAAACCCATGTGTGTATATATATATGCGATAGGGGGGTCTTAAAATCATCCTCAATCTTTGGTAATCATGTATATAATTTATGATATCTGTTGCTGTTTATGATGAATCTGTCCATGAAAAACGCACCAAAAAAAATCCAGGATCGGGCCTGCGAGCTCGGCCAAGACCTGAAGCGCAGTAGCTTCACCTCAGCCCAACAGTGGGGATCTTCATGGCTACCCTCCACGTTTACAGTTTGCCATTGAAAATGGCCATAGAAAGTTTGTTGATTTACCCATAGCATGATGATTTTCCATGACAAACTCTGAGAGTTTACCGTTTTTTAAATCTGGGAAGATCATGGAAATACGGTGGCAGGGCGAAATCCGAATCACCAGTTGATGGTAAACATCCTTGTGGTGAGGATTTCGCAATCCACAGTATTGCGGATGGATCTGGGGATAGAGTCCGTGTGGCTGGCTGTTTGTCGGTATCCGCAATGAATATGTTGGAGGCTTTCAACCAATCACTTGGAGTAAATCATTCGAAGGCGACCTGGTTTTGATGGTTTTCCTGCTAGATTTGAGCCATTTCTGTTGATGAAACCCTGAATTGTTGACATGTTGAAATCCTGACAGGTCAAATTCCAATTTCCAATTCTGGGGCATAGATATTGACGGTTAAATTTTGACCAGCATGATGAATCTGAGAACAGTGTTCTTGGAAACAAATGACTATGTTGATGATTGAAATATCTTTAACAATCGAATCTCCCCTACCTCGCCTCGTCGGTAGCCGACCCTTCGGCTCAATTGCAAAGCCTCCATAGCAGCCTCGAAGGCCTTGCAGCAATCCCATCCTCCGATCATAGTAAATCCCCCAAAAAAAGAACCTCCAATTCATCAACAGATCCATTACGAAACCAAGGTCTCATGGCAGGGAGGTCTTCCAAATTTGGGCAGGGATTGGCCTCCATAATCCAACCTGGAAATGAAAAATCTGTTTGGTTGGGCTAGATTTCCGTTGGGGGACACCACTCCTTGCACAACCAAGAAGAAAAAGAATCTGTGTCACAGGGAAGAAAGATTCCCGTCTGGTAATTCAACATATGTGTGGATAATCACCATCGTTCATGGGTTTCCATCTATCAATGGGCCATACCATAGCTATGTTGAATTAGATGCTAAAACTCACAAAAAACTCTGGAAAAAATGGCCGTTTTTTTTTTGGTACAGTAAATCAACGAACGAAATGTGCCATTTTCCAGTTCGCACACGGTTAGTCATTACCAGAGGGTACCGAATCGATTCAACAGCTCGGTGCCGAAAGCCATGGTTGTGTGACCATATACCATGGTATCATTATATAGCATATATCATGTTACATATGACAAACTAGGAATTACATATCACAAATGACATATTGCACACCACTATATATATATATAGATATATAGATATATATCTGGATAAATTATCATATTTCACTAATCTGAATTAAGGCCATGTGGGGATGAATTCCCTTATAAACCATGGTTCCAGTGAGGTCGCAGTGAGGTCGTTATAATTTATTTATATATATATATTTATATGTCCGATTGTGACCATCCTGTGGACTCACCGTGGGTACACAAAAAGTCTCAAGTTCGATTCAATCGGTTGGAGGAACCCATGATATGTATGTAAATGTGCGTAAATGTATATATGTATGAATGTATGTGTGTATGTATGTACGTACGTACGTACGTATGTATGTATGTATGTATCTATCTATCTATATATATATATTTAAATCTATCTTTTTATCTATCTATCTATCTATCTATCTATCTATCTATCTATCTATCTATCTGTCCATCCATCCATCCATCCATCCATCTATCTATCTATCTCCATCTGTCTATATATCTATCTATATCTTTATCTATATATCCATCTATTTCTCTATCCATTTCTCTATCTATTTCTCTATCTATATCTCTATCCATATGGATATCTATATCTCTATCTCTATCTATATCGATATCTAAATCTGTATCTCAATCTATCTATACATCTGTATCTATATCTAAATGTTTATCTATATCACATATCTACATATGTATATATATATACCGTATATCAAATATCAAGTATCAAATATCATATATCATATATAAAATTTGTTTAATATCATTTAACATATATCATACCAAAGATCATATATCATATATCATATATCATATATCATATATCAAATATCATATATCATGTATGCATATCTTTGCAGCCATGGTTTGAAAATGTTGAAAGCTTCCACCGTCCAACTCTGCCGCACCTCATCTTCTCGCGCTAGGAGAAGCGCCGCACCTGGGGATTTCTGGTGTCGCCCTTTGGAGGACAAAACCGTACAGTGTACAGGTGCATCATCCAATCACTGGACATTGGAAAGATTGTTTTCCTGTTTTCCTGGCATATCACTGTCGTCATCGTCGTTGTCATCATCATTATCACCATCATCGTCATCATCAAGACATTGGTTGCAGTCCTGCAGTTTTCGCACCTTTGTCAACAATACTCCCAGACCCAAATGGTGCTGATAGAGGCAAATTGGAAAATGTATGGTTGTGTATCATAACCATATATATAGATACGACATATCTACAATGCACCTCTGCTGATTGCCACAGCGCCAAGTTCCCCAACGAGCAATGACCAGAAGCGCAGCAACCTCGGCTGCATGGAGGGGCGGCCAGCTGCAGCAGCTCTGGTTGAAACAAAAACTGAAGGTTTTTGTGCTGGACACACTGGAGCAGCCACCTCACCAAACCTATAGCAGCTCTGAACCCTGAACAATCAACTATCTTTCAAGGAACCCATTTGGGTTTATGATGCTAACCATTCTCCAGCTGCAGAACATCGCTTCGTGGAGTTTCACAGTTTCTTCGGGTTCCTGCTCAGGTTTGTTGGTGGCTCAGCCCCATCATATTGATGAAGTCCATAGTTCTTGGCGCTAATCTCCCCGCTTTTGGCTGGTTTCAAAATCCCTTCCTGCTGATTAAAACTGATTAAAGCAATGTTTTTTATTATTTCTGCCCAGTTTCTAGCGGATTTTTTGGGGGATTCTCTGCCGGTTAAACCCCGCATTTTCTGCTCAAATTTCCCGCCTCGCCAGGAAGACATCGCTGGGTCGAAGCCTGGACGCGTTGGTTGATCAAGCGGTCGCTTACTCGCATCTGAATCGGATCAAACATCAGCATCATCATCATCACCACCACCACCATCATCATCCTCCTCCTCATCCTGATCCTCATCCCCGTCCTCATCATGATCATCATCATCATCGTCATTAAAATCATACACAACACCTTCATCGTCATCATCATCACCATCACCATTAGCACAAGCATCATCATCATCATCACCATCATCATCATCACCATCATCATCATCATCGTCATCATCATCATACACAACACATTCATCTTCATCATCATCATCATCAGCGTCATCACCATCTTCGTCATCATCATCGTCATCATCATCACCACCATCATAGTCAACACCTTCATCGTCATCATCATCATCGTCCCTGTCCTCATCATAAGCATCATCATCGTCATCATCATCGTCATTATCATCAGCATCATCATCGTCATCGTCATCGTCATCATCATCATCATCACCATCATCATCGCCATCATTATCATACACACCACCCTTACCGTGGTCATGATCATCATCATCACCACCACCACTCCTCCTCTTCATAATCATCATCACCGTCGTCATCGTCATCATCATCACCATCTTCATTATCACCATCATCATCATCACCATCATCATCATAATCCTCATCCTCATCCTCATCCTCATCACCATCCTCAGCTGCATCATCATCACCATCCTCACCCTCATTCTTACCGCCATCATCATCGTCGTCGTCGTCGCCGTCGTTGTCGTCATTGTCGTCATCGTCATCATTATCATCCTCATCCTGATCCTCATCCCCGTCCTCATAATCATTATTAACATCATCATACACCACACCCTCATCGTCATCGTCATCATCATCATCATCATCACCATCCTCGTCCTTATCCTCCTCCTTCTTATCATTATTGTCATCATCTCACCATACACAGCATCCTCCTCCACCTCCTCCTCTTCTTCTTTATCATCATCATCATCATCATCATCCCCATCCTCATTATCTTCATCTTCATCATCATCACCACCATCCTCATCCTCGTCCTCACTGCCATCATCATCACCATCATTACCATAACCGTCATCATTCATCATCATCATCGTCATCATCATCATCATCACCATCATCATCGTCATCCTGATCCTCATCCTCATCATAATCATCACCGTCATCGTCATCATCATCATCATCGTCGTCGTCGTCGTCCTCGTCGTCGTCGTCGTCGTCATCGTCCTCCTCGTTCTCATCCTCGTCCTCGTCCTCGTCCTCATCCTCGTTATCATCATCGTCGCCAAGGTCCTCCTCATCCTCATCATCATCATCATCATCATCAGCTGCTGCTGCTGCTTCTAGGTTTCAACGGCGTATATCAAAATTATAGTATCGTTGTTTATCTTTGAGTCTGTGACCCTATGACCTATGACCAATTTTGATGATAAATCGCAAATTGGATTGCAAGTCATCAATTTTGAACGATTCTCCTAGTCTGGAAGGAAGATCATCGAACCTCAAGGGGCATTCATTGGCTCACATAGAGGATAAATGAAAAGTGGCCAACGGCTCAACCAACGGTGTTGGCATGTTTGCCCCTCTATTGGGGTGATGGGGCTCCAACGCTTGCATCAACAAGCTTAGTAGAAAACGGTGATGAAATGTCCCAGCTCAACATCCCTTGAAGTGCTGCTGCCCTGCAAAAAACACGTGATCCCATATGGATCCACTTAGAACATTGGCCAAAGCCAGAATGACACGGCAGCGTTCGTTTTTCTGACAGCGCTAGTAGCTGAAGCTCTAAGAAAAGATTGGAGGGATCTTGGGATCACAGTTTTCAAGTCACAACTCAATCTATTCATGAGACGGGTTTCAGGTGCTCGATATCAAGAACCCTCCAGCTGGCCATAGTTGTTGCAAAGAAGCTATTGTCTGGCCGAAACCGCACCACTGCCTATCTAGGAAATGCGGGGAAAGTCACCATGCTGTTTCAAAAAAAATGCCAAATCTATTCAGAAATTGTGATGTTGCCAAAAAGGACCATGAAGACTGGTGGGTGAGCATGAGTCTGGCCCACAAAAAAGATGTCATTGACCATGATTTTAGAAGCAGCAAAAACCAAAAAACAAAATCCAATGGAGCTTCTCGTCGAAAAATCATCATATGATTCAAAGATATTGAACAGTTGGCAATTGTCCTTTTGCTTGATATGACTATGTCCACAAATGGGTGATATCCGCCTCAAAATTGTAATGGGAAAAAATGATGGTAGACCACTGGATTTGGGGTTGCCCAATTTTCACACCTACCCAGGTTCCAAAAGCATCTTTGCCGAAACCACAGCCGGTACCATGTCTTCGGGAACGGTGGATCCAGAGACCCTGCTTTCAATGCTGGGCCGGTGGATCGAATGTGATTGAAGCGGCAAAGAGGGTGTGACAAATCTGCAACTTCGTCCCCAGCAAATGGGGGAGTTGAATCCCAGGGTTTCAGGGAAACGTTGAGTTCCCATGGAAACATCTGGAGTCTCGATACAATTTGGATTGTAACACCCCCGGAATGTCGGATGTAAAACCCCATGTTTGGATAGCAAAGCCCCCACATGTCATATTTCCCACATTTAGATGGTAAAACACTCACACAGAGTTGTTTGGATGGTCAAAGTCTTTTGGATGGTCAAGGTCTTTTGGATGGTAGACTCCCAACATTTATGCGACCCCATATTCGGACGATAAGCAACCCTGATAGTTGGATGGTATGACCCATGGTCTGGTCAAGATGTCCTTTGAACCCAGTGAAAACTTCACCCTACAAGGAGACAGGTGATGGTTTCTGATTCCACCCCGGAAGGCAACCACAGTAACTGCCCAAGAAAAACTTGGCAAGGGTAAGGGACGAAAGCTAGCTTGGCAGTGTGATGGCAGCGTCGGCCTCTTCTGGGCGATGGGGAGGGTCATGTTAGAGTGTAAAGTGTGGAGTATAAAATGCGGAGTGCAGAGTGCACAGTATAGGGGAAATTCAAAGGTCCACGGTCGGCACCGGAGTGGACCTTTGGAAGCGTGGGAAGAAGTAACGCAGCTAGCGGTGAAAGTTCAGGACGACAGGTAGATGTGCGCACGCAACATGACAATGGAGCTAGGCCAAGGTTCCATACAGTGTCAAGTGTGAAAAGGGCAAAGTTGTGGGTGTCGAACGTGAAGTGTAGAGTGTGAAGTGCGAAAGCGTACAGATTAAAGTGTGAGTGCCATGTGTAAACGTAGAGTGTGGAGTGCCAAGTGTACAGTGTGGGTGTAAAGTGTGGACTGCGGAGTGCGAAGTGTAAAGTGTGAAGCGTAAAGTTTAGAGTGTAAAGTATGGAGTGTAAAGTTTAGCGTGTACTGTAAAGTGTGGAGGTTAAAGTGCGTTAACAGTTAAGTGTAACATGTCGAGTGTGGAGTGTGACGTGTAAGGTGTGGAGTGTAACGTTTAGCATGTGAAGTGTGGAGTACAAAGTGCGGTAACATGTAAGTGTAACATGTCGGGTGTGGAGTGTAACGTGTAAGATGTGGAGTGTAAAGTTTAGCGTGTAAAGTGTGGACTCCAGAGTGCGAAATGTAGAGGGTGGATACCAGTGATCGTGCCGGTGCTGTTACTGACCGTGTCCCGGGAGGGGTTGAGCCCACGACCAAACTGCTCGTGAAAGGAGGGGGGAAGGGGGGGGTACTTAACTGAAAAGTTTCTCGTGATTGGAGATTTCATCCCCTCCAATAACTTGCTAAAGCAAGAGGGACTTCAGCTAGCAAAAGCTAGCTTTCGTGACTTACCAAGTCAGCTCTATCTCGGATTCTATCCAGGGAAATTTCTTTGTGCACCATGTGACATCTTTTCAACGGATCCACATTGCACTTCCACATCAGGATTTAATCTTGTAGAACACCAGAGAAAAACGCAGACTGTTCCTATCCATTTCCGGTTCCACATAGGAAGGCTGACTTCACAGCAAAAGGCATCCACAAAGCAACTGGGACACGGATCTGCCCACCCAAACCGCGTTGATCTGCCGTGTGACTCTTGGGATGATCAAAGCGATCCCATAGGACATGGTATTTATGATTAAATATATATATATATATACATATGCTATATACGTATAGAGTGTATGTAGTGTATGTAATGTACGTAATGTAATGTCATGTACTGTACTGTAACGTAATGTAATGCAATGTAATGCAATGCAATGTAATGTAAATGTAATGTAAATGTAATGTAAATGTAATGTAAATGTAATGTAAATGTAATGTAAATGTAATGTAAATGTAATGTAAATGTAATGTAAATGTAATGTAAATGTAATGTAAATGTAATGTAAATGTAACGTAACGTAATGTAGCGCAATGCAATGCAATGTAATGCAATGCAATGCAATGCAATGTAAATGTAAATGTACATGTAGATGTAAATGTAAATGTAAATGTAAGTGTAAATCTAATGTAATGCAATGCAATGCAATGTAATGTAATGAATGTATGCATGTATGTAATGTAACGTAATGTCATGTAAT